TACCCGAGGCCCCAAGGCACCTAGGCCCTGAGCCCTAAGGCCGAATTAGGCCCGTAATGTTTTTTGGTATTGTAATTTCCCTTTCCTCAACCCGCTCCTTAACCTCTTCACTGCAGTACTGTCAGTGCTGAGCAGGAAGCAATGCCAACCATAGATCGGTGCTGCAAGCTGTAACCCTTAGGCCTTAGGCCTCAGAGTCTTGGATTTCAGCTCTTTTAGGTTTGGTTTGCAGAAACTTTTGATGATCCAAGACAAGTCAGTTATGTTTACTCAATCCAGTCTACTGAGTCTAGAGTCTATTCGGGTCCCAGGTCCATACTAGACTGTTACTAGACTAGACTAGAATATTTGAGACTTCAGGCCCGATTGACGAAAGACAAATGATTGCAAGTAACCAGGATGTGGGTTATGTCGGTTATGTTATGTGTGGTTCTGTCACGGTTATGTATAGTTACATTACATAGTTCTGGTGTATGTGCTTTTCTGCAGACCGATAAACGACTCGGGTTTCAGGATTCACATGATTCCAGGCCCGTGTTAAATTCAATTTCTAGTGTCGGTTGATGACGCAGCTAAGCCTCTAAGACTCTAAGCAGCTTAGGGCTTAGGCCTAGCCAAGCAGGGAAGCATTTGCAAATGCCATTTGTTGAGGCGAAGACCGTCCTCGAGACCTTCAACAGTCTGAAGCCGCGACCGAAGGAAGCAGTGCTGCTGGAGCATCGCATTCGCAACTGTGAGTTTGCTGCTATGTTGGCGACGCATTGCCGAAGCATCAACAAGCCTGCCATGACCCAGGCCGTTGCTTGCATGGCCTCCCTGGGAATCGAGCTGCCCTTGAAGATCCGCTTGCAGCTGGTTGAGAGGTACGTGAATGAGACGCTCGCCCTTTCCTTTGAAACTGATGCTGCTACCAGCAAGACCTCTGCAAAGGACAAGGAGAGCAAGCCCCAGGATGACAAGGAGGAGAACAAGTTGACTCCCAAGGAGGCAGCCAAGAAGGTCCTCAAGATTCTCCTGATCGTGCCCGACAACATCATGGAGGAGGAAAATGTGATCGAGTCTACATTCGCGACACTTGTTGAGCTTACAAAGAGCAGGCATGCTCTCGAGATGACATCAGTGGAAGCTGAGGACGAGGCGAAGGCCCGAGAGCGGCGGATTGGGAGGCCGAGCAGCGGCTAGCCACTAAGTGCTAGGAAGGGGCGGGGTTTAGGCTTTAGGTTTGGGGTGCTAGGTCGTATTCAAGGCTTGGCCACTTGGCTTCAGGGTCCGGGTTGAGGGTTGGGTTATGCCGGCTATGCCATGTTGGGTTCAAGGCTTGCTGACTTAACCGTGGCAGGCTTTGTGATTGTGTCCACATGCCGGTCAGAATATTCATCAGTTGCAGGTGCTGATTGCTGCTAGCTGCTGCTAGCTAGCTGCTAGCTGCGCCTGCCAGATGCTTCCAGAAGGAACCCACCCTTCACTTGGTGTTGCGATTGCAAGGTGGCATGTAGAGGACTTGCATACAAGTGTAACAGTGTGTAGCAGCTTCTGCTATCTGGGTCTCCGAAACCTTTTGGTTTAGTGTTCAGGGACCAGACTTTGGAGCTTGATCTTGAGTTTTGTTCGTGTCCGAGTGGGGAACGAAATACTGGGTCGTTTATCTGTTATTTGAGTCACTCGTCAACATTAATTGATTTCTTACAAAGAAGACGTGCCATGGCCCATGCTAGAGCTAGAGCTAGAGTCTACAGTCTACGTCTAGAGAGGAGCAGCTTGAGTAGCAGTGTAGTGTAGCCGCAGTCAGATCCAAGAGCCAGTTGGGTGAACGTTTGTACTGAGACTTAGCCACATAGCAGCCTCTGCGCTCTGACAAAGTTAAGATAGCTGATAGCTGATAGCGGCTGATAGCGAGGGTGAAAGAGAGGGAGAGTGACACAGAGAGGGAGAGTGTGAAAGAAAGACTTGTTCGTGACTGTTCGTGTGTGCACCTCCGGTGGTGCCGGCTGCTGCTAGGCTGTCCAGGAGTCGGTGACCGAAGGTCTTTGCTCGGATGGTTTGACTTCTGTGCTGTCCAACCCGGAGCAGCACAGCATCTTCTTGGAGGAATTCTTGACGGGGTTCCTTCAGGGCATGAACGAAGGCTCCGATGAGTTCAAGGAGCTGCCGGACTTGCTGCAGCAGGTCTGCCTTCGAGCCAAGCAAGTGTTCCGAGCATTTGCATGCTTGTTCTTCCCCATGATGGGCCACTTGGGGGCTGAGGTGGGCCACGTCAGCAGCCTGAAGAAGTACACGGGCAAAAATTCCTTTGAGGCGACCATGTCCAAGATTATCAGTGAGCCCTTTTGGCTTGCCCGCCATGACGAGCTACTTCGCAAGTCTGGAACAGCGAGGCTTATGGAGCCCACCTTCAAGCAGGTCACCACGGCTCTTCTTGAGGATTCGGACGGCTATGATGCCATGGCTGCCTTGGAATTGGCCGCCAAGCAGCTTCAAGGACTGCGCGATGGAATGAGGGAAGGCTCAACCCGCTTCATCGAAGCAAAGATGGGGCACATCTTGGACGAGCGTGTGGGCAGCGTCCTCAACTCCGACGGAACCACCGTGAAGCCATCCCTGGTGGAAGTCATCATCCATGCTTCCAAGATGTTGGGGAGAGATCAGATGGTTCAGAAGTTGCTCAAGTGGAAGAAGCAATGTGCTACAGCCCTCTCCTGGCGCACCTTGGAGGAGGAGGTGGCCAAGATCAACATGACATCCAGCCAAGAGTTGGCCTCAGTGGACCTGAAGCCCCTTGCGGAGGCCATCAGCAAGTGCTCCGAGACTGACCCGTTGCCAGAGTCGACCCTGACAGCCTTGGAGGACATGGTGCCCAAGCTCTTGCGTGTTTTCAAGATGCGAGTTCCTCGCTTGTGTTTCAGTCTGACAAGTCAAGTCTTACAGTGTAGTGAAGTGTAGCTCTTGAGCCTTAAGCCTTCAGCTTAAGCCTAAGCTTTGTACGCCATATGCTAGGGCTATGGCTTTGCCTATAATCTATAATCTCTAATAATTCAGAAGACTCACTAAGACAGTCAGCAAGAAAGTGCATGGCCTAGGGCAACGGCCCAGGGTTGAGGTTGGCTGGGTAGCTGTGTTGGTTTATTATAAAGTTTATTGGCTAGTTCTTATGGTTGGTTGCCTAGCCACCGCTAGCAGCTAGTGATTAGTGGGTTGGTTGCGGTTAAGTATTCGGTGAGTCCCTCGGTGAGTTGGCAGGTGTAGCTGTGTAGCTGCTGTAGCTCATAGGTTCCTCGGGTGGTAAGGTTCTAATTCGGTTGCCTAGTGACCTAGTGATCGTAGGACTACATCGTAGGAGAGTCTTAAGTTTCAGTCCACTTAGGACTTAGGTCGTTTAGGTCGGTCAAGGGTAGAGCTGCAAGGCTTGGGATAAATAGGCCCAAATAGGCAGTCTGAACCGAAGCATCAAGTCTCATCGTCTCACCCCAGTCTCATTCATCCTTTATGTAGTTGCCAGTCGTTGAATCCTTAAGCCTTAGCTACTTAAGCCTTGGCCTGGGCCTAGCCTTCACCCCACAAAATTTCGGGTCTTAAGGTTTAGCCTGTCATGATGAAGAGATGTTTGTTTTTGCTTGTGCCGATCACTGCCAGGTTGAAGGTGTGGTGAACCAGTCCATCAGCAAGGCTGAGTTCACGTGCGCAGAGTTGGCTGTGAATAAGTGCACCGGCCACGCCTTGCATGAGTACTTCACGGCTCAGCTGGCCCTCATCAAGAACGGGATTTCCTATCGGGCCCAGCTGCAGGCCATCGATCAGCTGGGGAGTGATGCAGCTGCACGAGTGGCAGCGGATCCCCAGGGCAAGAAGCTCGATCTTTTCATGAAGGTGAGGCGGGACCTCGTGACTTCCATGCAGGCACTTGTCACTGTGGAAACGAAGTTCCCCAGGGATGACCAGGACGCGCACCGGACCCTTCATAGGAAGCTCATGGCCGATTGCGGTGTGCTCTCTATCTTCAAGGCTGAGGTGAGCAACAACAACCACAAGTGGAAGGACATGTTCAGTCTGCAGCTAGCCGAGTTGAAAGAGGAGATTATGAGTGCCATCAAGAACCTGGGCGACCACAGCCAGTCCTATGAGCTCCCGGGCAAGGATTCCTGGAAGCCAGAGGGTGGCTTCAAGGATTACCAGCACTGCATGAGGACGGCCGATGTTACCATCGCACAGCTCAAGGGTGGTGTGGTGACCCGCCACGTGGATCAGCTGGAGAAGGCAAGGAGTTTCGGGGCAATCAACAGTGCAGGATGTTGATGTTTTGTGTTGAAAAAGTGTGCTTTTGGTTGTGAGCGCTGTTGTTTCAGGATGCAGTCCTTGTGCCGATTGAGTTTTTGATTCTGTGCACCAATGTTGACGCAATGGCTTGAACCAACTGCTCTTTACGAGGACCCGACGGGCTCCAGGCATCTAGGTCACTGAGTCCCACCAGCTTGCAAAGCCAAGAATTCAATACTCATCAATCAATACGGCTTCAGTACGGTAAACCATAAAGCCCAAAACTTTGAACCTGTCAATCCTCAAGCCCAGAGTCCAGTTCCAAGGTAGTGACTTTGCAAACCTGTTGTTGTGGCAGCCGTTGTAGCCGCTGTAGACAGTAGCTTCATTGCACCCGTCATTGTGCTGTGACTATGAACTTTGAGGACGTCAAGCCTTTAAGCCGGCTAGCGGCTAGAAGCTAGGGGTTATATTTGGCTAAACGGCCATTCCATACAAAAGGGTCCCGGGTATTACGTGAAAGTTTAACAGTTTAACTGTTCAACGGTTAAAGTTGAAGTTAAACTTGTCATTTATATGATTAAGTATCAGTACAGAAGGTATCACTTGTATTTTGGACAGCCCAGGC